AATGCTGGAGCATTGGACCAGTCCATGTTTTATCTTTTTGGATGGTAAAATTATAGAAATTCATTGATGCATTATAGGATGAAGAAAATGTGTAAATTTCTCCTTGGCGTTTTATTGAGAAGGCAATTGAGAGAGATGTGGACGGTGACATCGGGCCTTGTTACGAATGTATGTTCAGCAGCGCGAACTAAGTTGATCCCTTTTATAACATAACTTATATATTATTTAATGTAAGATATCAAACAATTTTTATCATTACACATTTCTCCACCTAAATAATAAAACGTATTTTCTTTTCTGTGAAAATTTTCTGAATGAGGCCAAACATGCTTCAAATAACAACAGCAATGTCAATGTTAATAATCCTCAACCCCGCTCGTTTCTTCATGCGACTCCTACAGGTACTCAGCAAACTAATCCGGGACCAACTGCGCATCAAGAAGAACGTGCAGAGTTTTAACCCTGCCAAGCTACGCTACCCGTACATCTCGCTGACCCACCGTTCTGGCAAGTACCATCCCCACATGACCTACAAGCAGCACGCGGACATGGCGGAGAAAATCGTGCAGTCTAGAATCAACTACTTCCGCAAGAAAAACTTATACTACAGGTCATCTTTAGAATTTAGAGTTTTAACCCCACCACATGCACACTCCCACACCACACACCCCTTATTTGGTAAGGGTTCCCCACGACACACACACACTACACACCCGTTATTTGGTTAGGGGTCGATCTTTCTGGTGGGATTTCCCTGCTGGCTCGGCTTCGGATGTCTATCTTTTTTTTAAAAAAGATAATTAAAACTAAGAGATTTTTTAAAATGTAAGTTGTAAAATGTTTTTGCTCCTTGAATACAAGCAGGTCAACTCGTCTACTAAGTGACCAAGGCTGCCCATTTTGACAGATAGACGCAAACCTTACATGTGTTTATTTCCGTTATACATGTGAAACCAACAACCTTCTCTGCGTCGTTTTTTTTTTTTTTAAAGGATAATTCATTCAATTAACATGGGCGCCCGCAGAAAACTTTCTAGGGTGGGGCAAAAAAAATCGATTAACTTTCCGGGGGGGGGGGGAACATTTTTTAGTAATGTTTTAATGTAGTTTTAATTTACTGTAGCGTATTTGTATGGTGAACGAACGGACAGGACATCAGCTTAGTTACTTAGTCTTTATTTTCTCTTTACTTTAATTAATTTATTGTCTATTTTTGTCTAAAAAATTTTTATCCAATCAATCCAGGGGGGGGGGTGCAAGTGCCCCACCTTGCCCCTACCTGCGGGCGCCCATGTCAATTAATGATTCTAATCTGGAATAACTTCAATCGTAAACATATTTTTATTACCTGACACCTACATCAATAATTATTATGAAATTCTGACATTCCCAAAAAATAACACTTTTTATATCTCGCATGCTTTAAAAATATCCCGCAATGTTTTGCGGGAATTATCGTCATAATGTTGTTCTGTATTTACACAAATGAACTGAATATATATCGCTCAGATAGTAATAGTCGTGACTAGTAGTAGTAGTGTTCCAGTGATGTGTAGTTCACTGTATTTTCATTTTCAACGTGGAACGATTTTTAGCACCCCTTGTTTTTGTGAAGTATATGGTGTTTTATGGTCTAATATACTATTTATATAGAATTAATGTCCTATCTAAAGACGATTTTGGCGCCCAAGGCGACAGCCCCCACTCGTCCCATTCTCATGGCCCTGCCAGAGGGCAAAGTGGAATCCAAGGCAACGCTACGCATATTCTGCGAACCACTGGGTTCGCCAAACTGTCACATCGGTGAAACCACGTGACATTTTTTTTCCAATACCTTTACGTTATAACTCTATTTTTTTAAATATTTGATTTTGTTGGGTTTTTATTGGGGGGGGGGGGCGTCAAAAAATGGCATTGTACTTACCCTAAAAATGTGGGGGAGGGAGTACGCCTGAAATAGCAGGGGAGGGGGCGAAAGTTTGCCATTTTCTGCGTATTGGTACATAGCATATCAAATATCATTAGTATATGGATGATCCCTTGGGCATGTTGGGGTGGGTACCTACAGTTTATGACCACATCCAATAAATTAATAAAATAAAGACTACAAAGACTATATCATTTGTATGAACTCTCTTTCTCACCTTAATAGGTGTTGTACTAGTACTAGGAGCCAAAATGATCAATAAATTGATCGTGGGCCCTTAAGATATAGAAGAAGAAGAAGAAGACTAGCACTAGCACTTATACCGAAATGCTGAACTTGTTTTCGGTGAATTTATCAGCAAATCTAGATTTGGGAAATTTCTCACTTCAACTTCAACAATTTTACACAAGTATTTACCGGTACTTCAACAAGTCAAATTTAACTGTACCACTACAGTAGTACTACGGGGCCGTCCATAAAGTACGTCACGCTCCAGAAAGGGGAGGGGGGGGGTTGTAAGAAAGTGTGACAGTTTTGTGACAGGGGGATGGGGGGTCAGGCCATGTGTGACGTCACACATTTATTTATTTTTTAAAATTATTTCTAACGTATTTTTTATTTTTTTAGTGGAATTTAATAGCTTTAAAAATAATTTTCAAAATTTTGTGTATCATTTGAATTAGTTTTATGTCAAAATAGCATGAAATGCGTATCTCCTGAATGTGTTGTTCACGATTCCTCTCCCTAGGAGCGCCAGTAGGCTGTTGCGAAGCCTTGTTTTATTATGTATAGCCTTGCTTTCGTCTTTCCTGAAGTATTATTATTTCTATGTTGTCCCTGCATAATTATGTCACTGTCCTTTTTATTATTTAATCATTTGGTGAGGTCAAGTTTCTCTAATATACTTCTTAACCTGTGTAAAAAATATTGCATAATCGGAAGATTATCTAAAACTTGACCTCACCTATTGTAAATGTAAAAGCAGCAGACAAATGATGTGCATAATATAATTGTCTAGTCTAATTTTTGCAATTTTTGTTTTCAAATTCAATCTAGATTGAGTTACTGCTTCAATGAATAACTGTGACAACTGTCGACAATTAACTATTCTACTATTAAAGTCATTTTAATAATGTGATAGTTCTTTTAAGTGGAAATTTTATATTATAATACAATTTAATAGTGAAGCGTGTTTTAGATTAAATTTTAATTAGGTGTTAATTTTTTTTATAAATTTATTCGAAAGTGTGACCTACTTGGGGGGGGGGGGGGAGGCGCGTTTTTGGGCTGTCTGAGTTTGGTGGGG